GCTCATGTACCACCTGATGAAAGAAACATTTCAGGTTCCTTGTAGGAGTGTTGTTTCGGAGTATTTAGCTACAGTGAACAACAACACATTTGAAGGATTCGTGAAAGAATACTGCACTAATTTATTGGATGAAATGCTGTCGTCTCAAAGGAATGCACGTCAACTAGCCAGGATGAACCATTATCAAAAGGATCTTCTCATGGAACAAGGTTGATAACACAAAAAAAATACTCTTGTTGGCTATTAAACTTGAATACTGAAATAGTACTTAAATATTCACATTATCGTCATTTGAATATCAAAACCGTAGAAGCCACATTGAATGAGCGAATAATGAGGCAGTCCCATCATGATTTTTACAGCTAGGTACCATAAAATCAGCCATCTAATTTGAATTTTAGTCTTCACGTGTGGACAATTGGGTTTCGTTGAGATATGCTCATTGCATATTTTGGTAGCCGTACTCAGTTGGCAAGATTCTGAATCAGGATGCTACATGAAGGAACCATTGGAAACGCAGTTGCGATTGAACAATCAGCCATCAATGATTCCACCAAATGCGCACAACAGTTTCACATCAAGAAAGATTCTGAGTGACGTTATTCACGATGGTGAGCGGTGTTCATTACTTTATGAAGTGCTCANGCATTGGTAGTGTTTCTTCGTTTTCTGCTCTTTCCAGGCCCTTGGCCAGAGTACTTCTTGGCCGATCAGCCAGTGGTGGTTCAGAATATTGCTGCAGAAGATCGATTCCACGAGTATAAATATGCGCGTTGGGTACGCGACTCATTACCAATGCAAATACATCGTTCAAGACCACCGCAACTTGGATGGTCTCTGGATTTATTGGCGTATTTGTCGTTAATTCTTCTCATCTGTTCCATTTCGTTCATCTCACAGTTCGTTTGCAAGCGACGAGTTAAACAAATTTATCATTTTGCCTATAAAAATTTATGATCCTGGAACGTCGTCATCTTTCTCTGTGCATGTTTTATGTGTTTACAATCAGGTCAAGAGATAAGCAATGGTACCGGATACAGTGAAGTAGAATGATCCAGTTCGATAGTGTGTACCGGATGACTAGAGTAGAACTGACTGGTTTGAAATTATTCGCTCTGAAAAGGCCTAAAAGCACTTTTGTGAGGAGCTGCAGAACTGAATTGACAATTCTGTGCAAGCATTGCATAATAATAATAATAATAATAATAATAATAATAATAATAACAATAATAATAATAATAATAATAAACGTTAAAAAATAAGATCTGAACAAGTTGGAGAAGAATAACCATCCAAAACTTTGACATTGAATATCTCTCATTCGTTGATATGTGTAAATTGTTGATGTTCCTCGTGGTCATTGTATTGTGTGGATATTATTGTATTTGTATGTATCGTTTTTGTGTGTTTTATAGCTGTCTTCTCAACTGTTTTTTTTNTGTGGATATTATTGTATTTGTATGTATCGTTTTTGTGTGTTTTATAGCTGTCTTCTCAACTGTTTTTTTTCAACTTCACATTGACACTCATTTCTGTAATGCTTTACCAAAACAGCGTTAGAACGATCTCCTATCGCATTTCAATTTTTGACAGTGTTTTTTTTAAACGTTATTTGTTTTGAATAGCTTTTCATGGTAACTGATGAATAAATGTTTAAAACATAAATTTGTTGAAGAGAACTTCGACGAGTTTACGAGATCACTTCTTAAGTTTCTCAGTAAGCCTTAAAACAGTCGTAAAAGTTCAGCGGGCATGTTAGAAGTTGTTTTCTCTAGTTTTTCAGATGTGCACTAGGACCATTAGGACCATTTGAGGAGTAAATGGCTTTTGATAATGTTATTTCAGAATTGTGACGAGTGAAGAAGTTCAGTTAGGCGAAAGTAATGAAATGGTCTGGTTCTGATTATATTCTGGTCAGAAACACGTTTGCTTGAATCTGACAATAATATACACATTTGCAGTATTGTAAATATCCTCCTAGTGAAATGATGCCCTCTGATAAATTCACTTACGAAATTACATGGAATAAGTGTTCCGCCCTCAATATGATGCTGATGCCGTGCTGTGGGTCTAAACAATT